CTCAGGGAGGTAGTGAAGGACAGGAAGGCCTGGCGCAATATGGTTCATGGGGTCACAAAGACTTAGACACGACTTAAACGACTGAACAACAACAACAACAACAGATGTAGCCTCACATGTGAATTAGTAAATCTTAGTTAAAATTGGGATTATACATAGACTTTATGTTCAAATTGCTCTTAAATTCAAATAAGACTAAAATGTGGGGCTGCCCATTTTTTCACGTAATGTCATACAGATCTTGCAGAATTTGTGACTAGAAAAGTCAGACTCCGTCCACACTAGCAAACCTTCCCCCATAGAAAGAAGTTTTTGTACAAAGAAGAATAAAATATTTGAGATGTCATTGCTGTTTTTGCAACATTGAGTTCCTTATTACCTCCTAAGCAACACAATAAGGGTTCTTCACCACACAGAGGGCCTTTTGTCAGTCCTGGTTTAATACACTGATGTTTGACAGCCAAGACTGCCTTCTTTTGTGGTTGATCTTCTGAGGGGACAGGCTATAATTCTCTGTGCCATGGGTACATGGCCTCAAGTCCCTAGCCTTTCTGGATAGTCCTCCTTCAACTGTTGCCAATAGCTAGCAAGTAAATTATAATTAGAAGATTTAAGACCTGATAAGGAAGGAAAAAGTGGATGGGTGGAATTAGGTTATGAGAAAAATGTGCACAGAACTTGAGAAATGCATTTGGGTAATGCCTACTTTCTTCTTTGACCACACCCATTTTTCCCCTTGCCTTGTTCACCTGTTTGTAACGCATTCCATAAAATTAGCATGTGTTTGTTGACCCAAAAAATGGTTTTTGACAGACATATTTCTCCCTGGGGAGAATTTCTAAAGGACAGGGAGTCTTTATACACTTTTAATCAACCTGATCTTGAAGGTGCTGCAAGACCTTGCTGTTTTTGCAGACTAGAACAATTTGCATGGTCCAAAGACACTTTATACTTTATATAATACAAGGTACTTTATATAATAAAACCTCGCCTCTACTTGGAAATATTGAAGAGAAATAAAAGAGAAATAATAAAACTTTCACTCAGAGCCAAAACACATCAGCAACTTTGTATTATTACTTTGGGCCCAATCGTGGAAGAGTTGCCTGGCTAAAGTTCTGAGGACATTTTATACAGAATAAAATCACAAGCTAAGAAATCTAAGATTTTAGTGAACCTCTGTCTATGAATTTCAAATTGAACTAATAACTCTGCATCCAAACAGAAGCCTATAGCACAATTACAGGATTAGAATTTTCTTTGATTTACAAAGCTCCCAGAATTTACAATTCTGGGAGTTGAAGTCCAGACGTCTTTCATTCATTCATTCATTCATTCATTCATTCATTCATTCATTCATTCATTCATTCATCACTACTTATCCAGACGTTGTTGACAGCATACACAGGGCTTCCTATTCCTATTTAATTCAAATGATTAATTTAAAAAAAAAAAAAAAATTCAACTTCTTCCTAAATCTGAAAATAGCTTTGAAAGCATTCTTTAAGAATCAGAAATAACCTATATTGCCCAGTCCTGTCCATATCTATACAAAAGTAGATCCCATTGATTTTGATGAGAGTTTTTATGGATTCTTGGATTATTATAGATTGATATTAATATGCTCAAATCTAGAGGTCAATTTTATGCAGTTGTTTGATGGAGCTGGACATGAGTCCTAGGAAGCTGTGGCATATAAATTAATGTAATAAATTAATAATATAATAGGCTTTTAGTATTGGTAGGTCTTGATGAGTCAGCTGTAAACTGTATCTTGGCAAATTTTCACTGTTGCAAGATACTCTTTGAATTGGGTAACCAGGATCATTTCTGATTTCTTGCTGCTTTTTCTAGTTCCACACAGAATCTACCGCATGGTGTTGGTGGGTTTATGCCATATGGTTTTTCTGGAGTTCTTTCGGGGGCAGCCACATGCTTTTATGCATTTGTGGGATTTGACTGCATTGCCACGACAGGTAAGGTAACAAAAAGCAAACACCTTGTTTTAATAATATGTTCTGCTCTTAGTTGGGCCTTCTTTGTATGCCACTCATCAGGAGACATGAGCCACTTTTTCCATTCTGCTGCAGATCCATCTCTGTGAAAATAGTTCTTGCAGCTCTGCATGAATGATGTTTCTTCTTTTCAGCATGAAATAAATTATATATAGATCAGAACCTAGTTAGATTCTTGGAGAAGGGGTATTGTGTTCTAAGACATAAACAGTAGAAGATACTTCAGGAACCTGAACTTGCAGCAGAATATTAGTTTCAGCCTCATTTGATTAAGTGATTAATTATACCATGCAGTGTGTGATGCTATAACCTCTACTCAGAACTAAATAAACATGACAAAGTTGAAACAGCAGTTCACTTCTTTATGCCAGTTTTGGATATCACTTTGGATATCACTACCTCTTACTCTTAGTTTCCATTATCTCTTGTAAATAAGCTTGAAAAGGAAGTTACACTAATACATTCTTATTATTTGGAGAAAGACAGTAAAAGGAACTCTGAAGCATTATGTCCCATTTCATAATTTTAAAGTACAAATTAAGGCTTTGTGCATTGAATCAAGGTGTATAGCTTGATTCTAGGACTTTAGGCAAATATTTCAGCTCTTAACATGATATGCAGATATAATTAGATGTTGTTAGTTTCATAAATAGCTGTGAGCTTTTCTTATTGGAACAATTAGGTAATTCAAGGAAATAATCTGTAATAAATGAAAAAAGCATTTGTAAAATGTGTGCTCTTAAAATCAGTACAATTAGTTGCTATTAACTTTTAATTTGGTGAAGGAGATTGAGTTTGTACTTTTTGTCTTCAGTAGAGGACAACATCTCAAATTGGCAGTTTCTCCATTGAAAGGATATAACTGATTCTAGTCTGTCTTTTGTGATTATTGATTTGGATTGTTGTCTCCTTTTTCAGGTGAAGAAGTAAAAAATCCTCAGAAGGCCATTCCAATAGGGATTGTGGCTTCACTTCTGATCTGCTTTGTTGCATATTTTGGGGTATCGGCTGCTCTTACTCTCATGATGCCTTACTATCTGCTTGATAAAAATAGCCCACTGCCAGTTGCTTTTAAGTATGTGAAATGGGAAGGCGCAAATTATGCAGTAGCTGTTGGTTCACTGTGTGCTCTTTCTACAAGGTAAGGAGCTTCAACTTTTTTGCATACGTGTAGTAAGAGTGTATCTTTCATCTTTAAATAAAAATGTTCAAGGCTGTTTCATGAGTTAGCTTTTTAAAATGACTTAACAGATGTTATGCTTCCACAGTTCAGGTTTGATAGGTTTGGGAATTTAGAAGGTTATTGTTTACAATTTTTCCCATATTAGGTGAAGGTCTGTAATGAAGTTTGCAGAAGAGGTCATAGATGGCACCTTCTAATAGACCTAAAACCCTGGGGAGTTTACTACCAATCATTGGAGACCAGCTTTTCCAATCTGGTGCTGTCCTGATACATTGGACTAAAATTTCCAGAGTTCCTAGTCAGCATCTCCAGCAACCATGCTGGCTAGGAATTCTGGATTTTTTCAATCAAACATATATTTGGGGGGTGGGGGTGTTGAGGATAGCTGATAGAGATAATACCAGGCTAGATGGTCCATATTTGGACTTGGTAGAAGGTAGCTGTGTCTCTTCTGAGGTGAGATTCCTGGGCTTTGTGCTCCCAGAAAACTTTCGTTACAGCCTTCAGAGCCCTTCCATCAGTTATCACTGCTTTGTAATTTTTAATGTGAAAAAAGAAGATATAGATATAATCATTTATTTAAATGAGATGGAATCAGCTTTAGTTTTTATCCAGCCTCGCTCATTCCTTTGTCCTGTGCCACCTACTTTTAGGAGTTTGACTCCCAGCTCTCATTCATAGGCCAGAGAAGGTCCTCAATATGAAAAAGAAATATGCATATTTCCTTCAGATGGTGACTGAAACGCTCCTGTTCAGGATTTATCTTTAAAATAAATACAGAAACTTTCTAAATCCCAATTTTATATATCTCATGGATTTTTGAATTCCATTTTAATTAGGGAAGGTCTAGGACTCACTGCTGCAAAAGGACAAAACGTTGCCATTGTCTGTTATAATTACTTTCCCAGTTTGGGGAAAGGACATTTATTCCTTAAAAAATACATTCCTTTCAATAGAGACTGTACTGTTGGACTGTCTTAACAATTTTTTCTGATGCCCCACTTTTTGTACACACAAAATATGTCAACATTAAAGCCTGTTGTCTTTTCATAGCCTGCTTGGATCCATGTTTCCAATGCCTCGGGTTATTTATGCCATGGCAGAAGACGGATTACTATTCAGATTTTTGGCTCGTGTCAATGAGAAGACAAAGACCCCAATGTTAGCTACAATAACCTCAGGAGCCGTTGCAGGTAAGACCTTAAGATTCCTTGAGAGTGAATCAAGTAATTACTAGACCCTCATAAGTCTATGTGTATGGGTGAATATTGTATACACGTGCCTCTCATAATTCCATAAGGAGAACACCCTGCATCTATAAAGCAGATCAAAACTAATGTCATATATTTTAATGCACTTTATGGTGAAAATATTTTTAAGGTTGCAAGACTTGCTCATTCAGAAATAATATTGCTACTCTTACTAACAGTGACGCATAAGTCACATACAACGTGATATACAGTTTGCACCCAATAAAATGCACGACTGACATAATCCTCACTCCTCTTCCTGCTTCTTAATATAATTGAGTTCATGTAGCAAATCTCTCATGCAATCACCTTTCATAACAATGCAAACCGTAGGTAGCTAAATTACGTAGTCAAAATGATTCTGCAACTCCTCTTTTTCTTGTTTTTGATAGTAAACATAGTATTTATGCAAATCTTGCATAAATTATTTTAATTTAATTTAAATTAAATTATCCTATTCTAATTTATAGGATGTTTTGGGGTAGGGCGTGAATCATTTCTACTTCTAGTAATAAGTTGCTTCGAGAAAAGTGATGGATAAAAATGTATCCTGCGTATATGTATGTAGTGAATTTGATATATTTATGACAGATAATCTGTAGTATGATTTAAGGTGGATTGTTTATATGCTTATTTGTGTTTCTTTTATCTCTGTTTTATTTACTGGCTAAAGGCTATGATAAAATTGATACATATTTTATATATTTATGTTATTTAAATGAGCTCTTATGACTTTGAAAAAGACAATATGAAAATCTTCATGTTTATGCTTCAGTTGAATTCTTATGTACTGTCAATATATTCTCTTTTTATAATTGAAAAATTCTTCAAAGATATAAAAAGGAATGAATATATTTTTGAGTCATTTCAGTTATAAATTACCAGTTATGATTGGTAATGCTAATTAGCCACTCTTGGGAAGATGGAGCCACTTTAGGAATTGCCAACAGATTTTTCTCTAGAAATCTGCAGACCTGCATAGCCATATTAAATACAATGCTTCTGCCTAAGGATTATATTTAATTCTCTTTGTTCCAAAGAAGGCTTTCTAATTAATTTCTTCCTTATAAATATAATATGGGAAACTCTCAGAAAAACCTTGTCACATGTTTACTGAAGATGGCAAATTGGACTCTGTCAACAGCTTCTGTCGTTTGAAACACTGTAAAAACATGATTTACTGTATTTTCCTGATTCAGGTGGCATGTTCAGATTAGTCAGATTATGATTCAGATGATCATCTAAACTGAAAACCATTGAAGCCTTTGGGTGTATCAGAGATTCTTAATAAAATGGCCTAACATGGAATCACTCTGCTTAAGATTGAATCTGGTAATGATTTATATAAGGCCATACATGCATTCTGAAAATAATAATTCTAGCTTTTACTACTGTGGACAAAAAAGTAAGCAGTGATTATCAAAACTTAAAATACCAAAGCGTATGAATGCAACTGTTGTGTGATTTTGGCTTATCCCTTTGCTCAATGTAAAATATTTGCTTAACTAGCAAATGCAGCAGAGCTAATATACTAGGTTATGGCACATTCTCAGGTGTTCTTCAGAATACCTGAAATTCTTTCTGCAAGAATTACTGCATCTCTTGGAGTTCGGTGATTATCTCAGCAGCCTTCCCAAACCTAGAATTTTCCAGGTGCATTTAGATTGCACTCCCACAGATCTGACAGTTGCATTTTAATTAGCATTAAAATTACATAATCAGACCTTTTGTTGAATAAATGGAAAAAAGGGGGGGGCAGAATTAAAAGAAACAAAGTATGTGCAGCAGAATTTCTCTTGCTCTTTAGTGTTGTTTTCAGTGTCAAAAAGATGATCAATTGCCAGTTTAAAAAGCAGTGAAATTGCTGCAATTTAACATTTGGTTTAATTCTTTAAACATTGCTTTTCTGAAGCTATAAAACTAGAAAAATATGTTATAATTGGTGTGATTTTTCTCTCATGTGAACACACAGCCATTTTTTTCTCACCTCTGGGTTTCCTCCTTCTTTCTCACGGACTTTACATCGCCTCCTGGGAAACAAAAGAGGTCAATCTCCTTTCTTTGTGGCTTGTCGGCCCAGAAGCATGGATAAGGATTAAATTGTCATGATTCATCAGGCTTGTAAATGAAATGAAAAATATTCTGCCAGTTCATCAGTGTTTTCTCTCTCTCTCTCTCTCCCCCCGCCCACTCCATTAGCTGTCATGGCCTTTCTCTTAGACCTAAAGGATCTTGTAGACCTCATGTCTATTGGGACTCTTCTAGCTTACTCCTTGGTGGCCGCCTGTGTCTTGGTACTAAGGTAGGAAACAACAACACTGCAGACAAAGTAGCCTCAAGATATTGCCCAAATTTGCTTTCTTGAAATGTACTTAATTTTAGATTTTATTACCTACTAAATTCAAAATGTGAACTGAACTCCAATTTATTAGAATGAGTTGATACACAGAAACAGAACTATATAATGCCTCTACTCCAACACAGATAATATATCATTAAGGCTTGCATATTGCTGCTGAATTCCTAGCAGCAGCAGCAGCAGCAGCAGCAGCAGCAGCAGCAGCAGCAGCAGCAGCAGCAGCAGATCATCCTGGGAGACATTGGGAACAGTCTGGCGTGTTAGTCAGGGCAGATGATCCTCAGAATGAAAATCTGTTTCAGGAGCATCATTTGTCTGCACTGTCAAGATCCTGTCTGCTTCATTATTGGTGCAGATAGCTTTGATGTCTCATGTGTTCTGCTACCCTTGGGATAGGTCATTTTACCCTTTCCATGTAAATGCAAAACAGCTGTTAGGACCAGGATCCTTATCTCTGTTTATTCTGGCAAACTGCTTCATGTAACATTTGCCCTGTAACGCTGTGGTCACAAGGCTGTGTAAGCCCGTTCTGCATGCCTCAGCGTTCGTTTTCAAGAGTTAGGAGTTTTTACAGCTTCATTTGCGAAGTTAGAGAAGCTGTTGGATTGTATGAGAGAGGACCTCAGATGTTGTACGAAGAAGAAAAGCCCAGTATTAAGTGTAGAGAGCTTGCCCTACTACCGCATAAAAGCAACTGCAGAATTAAATAGGCGAAGAACGGTTGATCCCCTATTTCTTAAAATCTAGAAGTTACTTGAGCCTGTATTTTTTCTCTCTTATTTTTGCAGTTTTCTTGATAGCAGGACAATAATGTACAAACTACAGATAGCAGTAAAATGTAGAGCATCTTTTTTTAAAAAGTATTTTCTCAGGATAAAATATAGTCATATGTACTACTGTTTAGTAACACAGTGATCAAGATACCCAAATCAGAATTAGCTAAGCTAAAGGAGACAGCAGTTTTAGCCAGATTCCTGAAAGTACAATTTTGAGACTTGACATGGCTCTCTGGATACCATTAGTGAAATGCTCAGCTTCATTTGTGGCATCTAGAGAATAGTCTGTGATCTTAAATGGAACCTATGGTGGGGCATTTACCAGAGTGATAAAGAAGCTCTAAAGAAGAACACAACACATTTAATCTTAACATTTCTGTCTGTATGTAGCCTTGGCAGGTCTGTAATTTGCATCTCATTTTATGGATTTTGTAGGAATACATGACATAAAACCTAATGTCTGTAGTTCCAGTTTGACAGTGATAAAGTTTCTCCTTATTTTGTTCCACTATTCCACTTTTGATATGTTCTTCTGATGCTCAAGTAAAACCTTCGATGGCACCTATATAATTTCCAGTGCTATAATGCTGTGTGTATGTTATGCTTATTTGTTTTCTCTATAGGTACCAACCTGAGCAGCCTAACTTGGCGTATCAGATGGCTAGTACTACAGATGAGACAGACAATAATGAGTCTGTGAGCACGAGTGAATCTCAAACTGGATTTCTGCCTGAGGAGGAAGAGAAATTATCTCTAAAAGTTCTCCTCCTCCCCCAGAATACAGTTCCTTCCAAACTTTCTGGATTTATAGTGAATTTCTCTACTTGTATCATAGGTAAGCAGCTGATTCCAAAAATTAGTAGTATTCTCAATAATTATGGCTCTGATTGTTAGTTTCCTCTCTGAAAAGTTGATTGTCGAGTTTGCTGTTGAACTGAGAATGTCCTCCTTGCAGTTTGTGTTTTGATTTAAATGTCTTTAAAATAAATCCAGTGTGGAAATGAAGAGATAACAGTGAGACAACCGCTGAAAAAAAGAGACAAAGAATTGGCAAGTGAACGTCAGAGGAAGCCCACTCGAAGCATAGAATGCTTGACAGTCCTAATACAGGTAGTCCCCACAACCCTAATTGGGACCGGAATTTCTATCACTAGGCAAACTGGTTGTTAGGCGAAACATCATGTGACCATACTGCTTAGTGACAGCAGTTCCAGTAGTCTTGGTTGTGGTTGTTAGGCCAGGACTGCATCGTCATTAGGTGAGGACCTCATGCTTCTCCTGCCCTGCCGTGCTTGCCTCCGCTTCAAGTCCCCCATTTGCTTATCTCCCCCCCATCTGTGCCCTTTTGGTTGCCCTGCATTCTGCCGCCACCACCTACCCCTGCCATCCACTGCCACCCCGCTATCTTCTTCCTCCCACTGCTGATGAGGCACGCTCGGATGAGGCAGCTGTTGGCCCTTCACGTGGCCTCTCCTGGCCTCCCCAAAGCCTCATGAGGTCTCTGTGTGGTGTCCCTGAAGCTGCGTGCAGCTGCGCAGAGGCCTCATGAGGCTTCTGGGAGGCCACCTGAGGCCACGTGAAGGGCCAGCAGCTGCCTTAGCTGGGCACACCTCATCAGCAGAAAGAGGAAGAAGATGGTGAAGGTCAGCAGGGGATGGCAGGGGTAGGCAGCAGAGTGCAGGGCAGCCAAAAGGGCAAGATGGGGGGAGATAGGTGGATGAGGGGAGTTGAAGCACGCGCTGCAGTCATAAATGTGGGCAGGCTGCCAGGCACCCACATTTTGATCATGTGACCATGGGTGCACTGCAACGGCCATAATTTCGAGGGCCGGCCATAACTACCATTTGTTCAGTACCATCGTAACTTCAAATGGTTACTGAATGAATGGTTGTTAGGTGAGGACTACCTGTAGATGAGCTTTTTGCTCTACAGGATCGTTTAGCAAAACAGTTGTTTACAATAATGAATGTTGGAAGCTATGGATCCTGGGCTGTCTAGCTGCATGTGCCACAAGTTGTATTGTTCTTCACTTGGCTAATTACAGCTGTTTTTTGTATTCCTCCCCATCATGCACATCAGTGCATCCAACATCTTATGTCTCTTGTTCTCAGGTTTTCTTATTGTCAGCTTCTGCTGCTTGGCTGTCCTTGCCAAGGAGGCTCTGACCAGTGGAGCTATGTGGGCCATTAGCATCCTTGTTGTCATCTTCATTGTCTGCTTTGTTTTCATGGTGATTATTTGGAGGCAACCTGAAAGCAAAACCAAACTCTCATTTAAGGCAAGTGATGTGTAAAGTATGCATGTATAAAAGAACAATTGGAGTCCTTGCTGGCTTTGTGATTGGAAAGAGAGATTAGTGGAGATCAGGCTGCTTTGGCCAGAAAAGCAGCCGTGAGTGGAGGGGTGGATGGCAAAAGACGGTTTCCCACGCAGATTGAATATATGACCTTCAGACCTGACCTTCAGCTTTCTGGATGCTAGTTTTTGGGGAAGGGGTTGTCCCCTTGTCTAATATTCTGTTTGAACTTACCGAGGGATAATTGGCAGCATGCAAGGCTGCCTTTTTTGTTTCAGTACTGCTAACACAATCTTCCCAAAGAACCAACTCATTACATTATGGGGTAGCCTCTAGAAATGAAGTCTTAATTATTTTCACAGAACAATCAGTGAATTAGTGAGTGAATACATACATACATACATACATAGAACAGGGGAAGGAAGGCACACCAATTATTAGAGCTGGGTAAGGAACTGGTGACTTTTCAAATGTTACAACTCTCAGCGTTCAGTATGAAAAGCTATGAGAAATGGGGTTGCTGGGAGTTGTAGTCATGCAACAATTTGGGGGCATACATTCCCCATCTGGCATAGCAGAAACAGTCTGCATTCTCAAGTGTTTACATTGCATCCACAAACTTTTGGTAGGAAAAGAGGTGTGAATTCAGCATGTCTTTGTAATATACAAGCCTTAATGATGTATTATCTGTGTTGGAGTATAGGCATTATATAGTTCTATTTCTGTGTATCATCTCATTCTAATAAATTGGAATTGTGGATGGCAAGGTGCTGGTAGTCCTCATTTAGTGACCACAGTTGGGACTGGCAGCTCTGTCATTAAGTGAAGCGATTGCTAAGTGGGAAGTCACATGACTGTAACTGTGCTTCCCTTTCCCCCACTCCCCCACTCTTTCGAATGCTCATCCCAGCGCTGGGATAATTAGCAAGAAGGGAATTAATGTTTGTGTTTACATTCATTGGAGAGGAGGGTAATACAAGAGAGTAAGCAGGCACACAATGGGGAATGCACATTGAAAGGAATGCAGTGGCACTGGGAGCCATGAGCATGCCACA